GGCGCCTCCGCCCACGACTTCTACGTGGGCCACGACCACGCCGCGGAGGCTCCCAGCCGCGGAGGGCGCCGTCCTCGCGCCGCGCTCGCGCGCCCCGCGGCGGCCAGCGCGGGGCCACGCCCAGAGTTCCGACGATGTGAATTTCGAGCAGTGGCGAAGCGTCCTGGCTTGCCTATAGGCCCACCGAAGAATGTTCTAAGAACCTTTGTGGTCTGCACGAAATGTTCTTATAACATTTCTGGCTGAGACTGTCTTGTCTCCACACATCGTGCTCATGTTCTAAGAACACTGCCTTTCTGTTATTAGAACATTGTGGGGTTCTGAGAATGTTTGGTGGTAGGCCTACAGGAATGCCAGGACGGCCGGTCTCGGCTCAAGAATTGGGATGGGCATTCGTCTACTGATCGACCCCGCTCTTTAGCTAAGGAGGAGGAGGAGGAGAAATAATACGCAGGAGGGGAGGGCGCCCGCTGCCCGAGGCAGGAGGGAGGCCATGGGGGGGAAGGAGGGAAGGCGCCCGCTGAACAGGGCCAGAGGGCGGCAAGGAAGGTGAGGCACCTGCTTGCCAAGGCAGGAGGTCTGCAAGGAGAGGAGGGGAAGGCACCTGCTGCGGAAGCCAGAGGGTGAGACACCTGCTACCACCACAGCCGGGTCATCTCGACGGCCCGTTTTGCTGTTGAACCGTTCCCCCCGACCCCCTTCTTTACGGTCATGGTCTTGTTCTTAGCGCGTAGTTAGGGATACGCTTAGACACGCTAAGCGCTCCGCAATTAGTGTGTATTCTGCGCGGTTGGTACTTAGCGTGTATTTTGGAGGGCTGTTCCACCCGACCGTATTTAGCGTGCACGCTCCTGCGCTGCTTAGCGTGTCATTGGCTTCGGCTTCGCAGGGCCCGAAATCACATACACGCTAAGAATAGGACCGTGACTGTAATTGACTCGCAGGCCTAGAGGTTGACACCAACACCAAGATCGGCGGTGTCCATCCACCGAGGGAAGACGATCCAGATCTCGGTGATGGTGGTAATACTCTGGCTTCCAAGGTGACCGAAATATTACCACTAACACCGAAATCTAGGATCATCACCCCCCTGTGGAGGCAAAACCCTGTGCTGGTGTTGGTGCCAATTTCCAGGCCTCCAATCGACTCCCTCGTTAGGACGCGTGCTGGGCAGGTTTTGTGGCCCCTTGGAGGCCAGCGCCAACATTCCCGTCGGCCACGCCCCAAGAACAGCATCTACACCTCGATGCGCACGGGAAGCCGTGCCTCTGCACGTTGGGTTAAGTCGGGCCTGTCCCTCTACAGGGGGAAAATTTTTAAATAGTCAAAAAATGAATAGTTTTTTTGTATTTCTGGCCATCTTTGGAGCATTTTTTGACTATTTTTTATTTTTCGTCCAAAATCCCCCTGTAGGGGGACAGGCCCGACCTAAACATTGGGTGACTCTTGCGTCTTCGCGCGGGGTGGTGCTTCTGATGGTTTCTCGCCTGCAGAGCAGCGGCCGAGCGCCTGCAGTGGGGGCGCGCATCAAGAAACTATCTGCGTTTCGTCAGGGTATCCTGGGTTTCTTCGCTCCTCGCGCTGCGCGGTGACTTCCCGCAGCCGTTGAAGGAGCTGCTGCGTTCAGGGTGCTTCGGGTTTCCCCTCAGGTGCACCCCGCGCACGGCTTCTCAGGGTTGGGTTTCTTGCGAGGGTTTCTTGCGGCCGCGCCCGCACTGTATGCGAATGCGAAGGCAGGAGCCGGCCAATCGCCACAACCTGCCGGTTGTTCTCGCTGTCTCTCCCGGAGGGCTTGCTCGCCTCGGGGTGCCTCTCCCAGCAGCGGCGACCCACCCCGGGGCCCAGCCCAAGGCAACAAAAAGCGCCCCACGGCGAGAGCTCCAGGAGGGAAAAAAACACACAGACACAATTGATCGTCGACCCCCAGGAAACGATGGGAAAACATGGGAAGTGGGGGGAAGTCGAAAGCCCAGAAAGTATGGGAAAAAGATGGGGAATTCGGAATCCTGTTATTTATGCCTATTTATTTGTGTGTCCCAGGGTTTTTTCAGAGCTCCCTACGACGGACGGGGCTGCAAGGCTCAGCGGCTGCGCGCGCACCCGTGCCGCACATGCCACTGGCCCCGTGGGCGGGACCGGCCTGCGCGCCCAGACGGGACAACATCCACGACCACGACCACGACGGCCACCGTCGTCGTCGATGTCGTTGACGCCGTCGGCTTCGACGTCGTCGACAGCGTCGACGTCAACGGCGTCCTCGTCGACGAAGTCGGCGTTGTCCTGCGGAGTCGTCGACCTCGTCGGCGTCGTCGTCGTCGGCTGGCCGCGCGGCGGCGGGCGAACGACTGCCATCGCCGCAGTGGCGCGCGGCGAGTGGCCAGTGCCCTCCGCTCGGCTTCTCCGGCGCCGCGGCGCGGGCGCCCAGCTTCTCCGGCGGCGAGGGCGGCGGCGGCGAGCCGCTACCGCGTCTGCCGACGGTCGCGGTTCAGGGCGGGCATCCTCCTCCCCCTTCTCCTCCATCCCTTTTCTGCTTATGAGTGAGCTCCTCCCTGTCGCATTTCCAGACGTGTCGGTAGGGTGGGCTGGGCGCTTCCCTCGACAAGCCTTCACCAAAAAATTTGGAATCACTTCGCGGGCGGAGGGCGGGTCGTTCTCAAAATGTGGCTCTCGCAACAGCGCCGCGCGCGCTCGTTTCCTCAATGGCAAAAGTTTCGTTGATGGAGGGCGGCTCATTATCAAAATGCGGCTTTCGTTTTACAGCCGCGAGCACGCGTTTGAGACTGGTTGAAGTCGCAGGAGCGATGTTCCAGCACATGATCGAAGACGCCTACGGCGAATCACCGCCGCCCCCTGCCTTTTTGGAAACGCCTATGTGGCCGAACATTGAGGCAAGACCTGCCAAGCTATCGGACCATGTGTTCCCCGAATTGGTTTGGAAAGCCTTCGGGGAACACCTGGGCATCTTGAAAGTCATCTTGGCCGTCTGGAGCCATTATGACCCTTCGTGTTAGGAGGAGGATACGGAGGAGCTTCAAAGGAAAAGGTAAAGGCAAACGGGGTCGTCGTAGGTTGAATGGACGAGGCATCACGGCCTTCCTCCAGGGGCTCTCAGATGACCCGTATGATTACATATTTTTCGGGGGAAAAAGGCCGTGGTAAGGGCCGTAGAGATACCTCAGGCAAAGGCAAAGGTAGGCGGGGAAACCCGCGAGGTAGAGACGGCCAGATCCTAAAGTGCCATGAGTGTGATAGTACCGATCATCTTGTGAAAGGTTGTCCAGCGAAGGGAAATGGAAAGGGCAGGTCGACCGAAGTCCATTTTGGCTCAAGTGAACCATTTATTGAATATCTGAGCCTCCAGGATTTTGAGGCCGTGGAGCAGATATTTTACACTTGGGTTAGCTGCATGGACAACGTCGACGAGCTCGAGGCGTATGGCCATGGACTGTACGCGTACTACCCCGAGTACCTCCGCAGGTTCGTTGTCGGCAACAACGAGCTCACTCCCGTGGATCACGGAACGCTGGGAAACCAGCTTTTATTTTTCTTCGATTGGATGTTCGGGAACCCAGGCAACATCATGGCCTACGAGAGCAGTGACGAGGACGTCACTGTAGAGGCCTCGCCTTCAGAGGTTGATCGCAACCTCCAACCTCTACCCGACCTCATGCCTGGAAACAGGCCTACCTATCCTCGAAATCGCGTTGAACTAATAGAAATGGAGTCTCAAGCGTTCGTTGCGGGCGTACCAGGGGACCCATTTATACCCCCCGGTTCGCTTACTCCAGGCGAGTACGGACCACGCACACTACTGCAAACCCTCATGAGGATGCACGAGATATTAACCATAGCATATCCCGAGAGTCAAGAAAGCATCGAAGCTGGTAACATGATGCTGCAGGACACTGACGCCTGCGACGACTCGGAGTTAGTGCTGGCAGCCTTGACTCTCATTGATAGCGTGCACCCTGAGGACGTGCAGAGGCATGTGTGGTACTCCAGAGGGAGATGGCGCCAGGCCCTTGAAAGGGCCATCACCATGCGCGGCCATGCTCTTCCTCCGCCAGGATGGGGTCTCCAGGCGACGGGACTATGGCCCAACCATACGGCGATGCGTAATATCGCCGGGCAGCCTGTGCTCGGCAACGAGCCTGAGCCGACAACCGTACCACCTACGCCGGGACAGCCAAGCGATGCTCAGACGCCGGCGACGCAGGGAAACCTGCCCGTCCCGGCTGTACCGATGGCCGTCATCATTGGCAATCCTACATCAGAAGATGAAGAGGGTGATGGTTGCGGGCTGTGCGAGGACGAAACCACAATCCTCATGATGGAGGTCACTGGTGAGGTAGAGGTGGACTTCAATCCCGACGAGTCTGACGCGCCACCACCGCCGGCGCAAGCGCCAATTGCGCCGGGCTCCAGCCAGCAGGGAGACCTGCCTCTGTTAGACGATCTGCCTGGGATCGCGCAGGAGCCTCCGCAGGGGCCCCCGCCGGCTCCCGCTCAGGCTGCGTCAGCAGCCTCTTCTGATGAGCATGCCAGGAGGTCTCGTTCTCATCCACGCCTCAGAGAAGAGCCTCATCCGCAGGGACGGCCCCCTCGTGAGTGGAGGCAAGCTGGCCCAAAGGAACATGCTCTTCGGCGAGGGGGCCAATTGCTTCCCTACAGTGACCCTAGGCGTCGGAAAGGGGAACATTCGGCCTTCGGAAAGGGCAGCCCAGCCTATAGAGACGCTCAGGGTAAGTCCATACGCGGTGGCTACCAGCTTGCGACGAACATTCGTACTGATGGAATACAAGAAGTACGAACGCAGCTGCGCAATGTCGTCGCAGCACGCAAACTGTATAGACCTAATGCAGTTTGTGGACCGTGCTCTGAGCCGTTTCAGGAGCATAGTCCGGGATGCCCTGTAGGGCTCAACGAGGGTTTGAGCCCGAACAGAGGCCGCACTCCTCATAAGGAGGGTCATCCACCGCTGATCCCGATGACTCGACGAGATCGCAGAGATCAATCGTCGTCTCGGGATCACGGTTCACATGAGGCCGAAGGCCGAGGAGGTTAAGCCTCCTCCGGCTCCGAGGGGACTGGTGCCCACGACCCAGGAAGAAAAGGATGCGCTTTTTAGCCTTCCTGGAATGCGAGGAAACTCGCCTGGCGTTTCCAGCCAGTCCCAACGGCCAGAACAGATGGACAACGATGACCAGAAGGCCCAGCGAGCTGCGGCAGACGAGGAACGTAGACGAATCGCAGAGGAACGCACCCGCGAGGCAACTCGCCAGATGCTGATGGACTCGCAAAAGATCTACATGAAGGAGGCGAAGGCGAAGAAGCCTCCACTTCCATTCCAACCGAAGGCTAAGAGTGAAACGCCGGCCCCTAGGTCGCTTTCGGAGGAGAGACCGGAGACAACAGCACGCTCTGAGGAGCTTGGGTCAGGTGTGCAGATGGAGGCGCCTCGCTCTAAAACGCCGAGATCACCGACGAGAGCAACTCCAGCACAGAGACCTAACCCCAGACAGCTACCTCGGGAACCTGTAGAAGTACGTGGACGCCCGCCTAGTCGCAGCGGATCTATCGCCAACAAGGCTAAGGCATTCGAGCGCACAGGGTACGCCCCTGCGCCAGCCTCGCCTGTGGCGGCACGCTCCAGAAGGTCCGATGAAGGTGCTCTGTCTAGGGGTACCTGGGTGCCGACGATTAGGGGCAGCGCCGGCCGAGAGTCACCGCGGGGAAACCCGCCAGGCGCTGCCGCTGCAGCTTCCTCCTCCTCGGGAGCCGCAGCCTCTTCGGCGACTGAGGCTCCTGCGCGGGGAAACCCGCCCGATGAACAGCTGCACCGCCCAGGAGACACATCCTTCACCAGTGGGAGTCAGGCCGTGATCAGCGATAGACTTGCCCTGCGGAAGCTCCCACCGATGCGCTCGGTGGATGAGGAAATCACACCCTCAAGCAACTGAGTAAGGCTCTCAGTAGGGTGTGTAGACACGCGCCTGACAAACCACACAATGCTGTGTGGAGCCTGAACACCTTCGACGATCATGATGGCTGGATTAACCTCTTAGAGCTCGTCCATGAGTATCCGCGGCACCACGGACATACGAGACATGATGGTTACAATCCCAGGCATGACGAGGCCAAAGTCATCACCGCGAACCTATACGGCCGAACGGTGGACCAGCTGGCCGCCATCATGATGGAGGTTGTCCATGTCCGCGAACCAGACGGTGAAGAGAAACAACGCCTTCAGTTTAAGGTGTTAGTGCGGGACTCTGGCAAGTCCGACATCTTCATCCGGGCCTCTCAAGGGCACTCGTGGACGCTGAAGGCTCCATGGTCGTTGTACAAGTACATCGTACTACACGACAACCCTGCCGGGAGACCAGCCCCATATCATATCCCGAGGTTGCCATGCATGGTACTCGATGGGCTGCCTTTGGAGGTATTATGTGGTATGGCCTTTCCTGTCGTTCTGAACACAACTCGAAGAAAAAGGGGACAGGCCGGTCACACATCCACTTTACAACAACGGTTCGCCGTCGCAGTGTGAACAGTGGGTGGGACCCAGATTCCAACATCATCATCTTTGTGGACTGGCAGAAGGCCTTGAAGGATGGAATAAAATTTTGTTGGTCTGACAATGGAGTCCTCCTATCCGAGGGAATTAACGGCATCATTGAACCGTGCTATATTTCCCACGTAGAAGACCTGGCCACGGGGAAGCAGTGGCGCAACCCAGAATACCTGGGCGATCGCAAGGCACGCGTCACTACCGCCTTGATGTCGGCCCCTGGTAGGTGGACTGATGTAGGCAGTGCTAGTGTCAAGTACCAGTGGTCTCGCGACCAAGAGGGCGTCGACCCTCCTATGGTTTACGGCCACAGAGAAGTTGGGGACCACTACAGCCCTGCCGCGCTGGGAAACCAGCCCGAAGTCCACCAGATCTTCATGGTCACCGAGAGTGAGGCCGGAAGCGCGGCTCCAAGCCGCGCTCCAAGCCGAGGGCCTAGTGCCGTATCTTGGCGGGCCATCATCACCTCGGATCTGGACCAGATCGCGGCCGCTCTAAATCCTGAACGGGTGGAGCAATTGGCGGATAGACTGTATCAGCAAGACCCCTGGGCCGCTGGCCAGGGAGCCATGTCCGCCATGGCGACGCGTAATCGTCAGGCCATGCAGGGAAACCTGCCCTTAAATGGACTCAGAAATGAGATGCCCGAACCGCGGGGAGACCCGCAGACGTTCGGCCGCATCTTCGGAGAGCCTGGTCGATTCGAGCAGATGCCTGGTAGTCCCTCGCATAGTATGCACACACCGAGGGGCATGACCCCAATGGCGACGCCACCTGCGCAGTCTCCGTTCGGGACTCCTGGTCGCTCTGCCACGAGTGGCACTCTCATGGAGAGGATCGCCGCGGCCAGGGCCGAGCATGGTACAGCTCCTAAACATGATGCCGCCCGGCACTCCAACGAGTCAG